GAAGTGTTTCTCAAAGAGGTAACTCAACCGTCTTTACAAGCATCCTATTTTACAGACAGAAATATTGGTGCAAAAGAGTTGCCTGACCCGCAGAGCAGAGCACTGGTGACGCTGACAACGGAGACTTCTTCACTGTTAGGCTTGTGTGATGACTTGATTACTTACAATTGATTGAAAGGGGAGATGTGCAGTTAAACTCATCTTTCAAGCAAGCAAACATCCCAAAATGATAAATCACACTGTAACTGGTATTGTGTGGCCTGAAGCAAATTGTTATGTGCACTATTTAAAGGCTTAAACATTTTGACTACTGAGGATACTTGGCTAAGCAATAGGTGGAGGAACGTTGTTAACGGAAATCTTCCAGAGCTCTCTTCCTTTCCACAGGGTCATAGGCAAAATCTTGAAGAACCTTTTAATATTAAGCTTTCCATAAAGAGGTATATGCTCAAGCAATTTTTTTTTTAGTCAATAAAGAATAAAGAACTACACAAACCACACTTGTGTAACTGGCTGTCCGGTGATTTAAATTATAATTTAATGATAGTTTAGTTACTGTTGCCAAAATAATACTTGAATTTTGACACCATCTTGTGCTTGTATAACTGCCTGTCATTCAAGGAGCTCTAAGTGCTTTGTACATTTGCTTACTGTAGGCAAATGGAAGGACTGAAGGATTACACTTGCTTTTAAACATTAAAAATAGTGGGAATTTAAACCTGTAAATCACACTGAAAATAGTGAGCTTGAGGAACAACAGATTAGGGAAGAAAAGAATTCAGGTATCTTGGTTCATGCCATTGCTATCATTATCCTGCACTCCTGTCTTAAAAAATGTGCCACTAGAGCTTGGTAACCTAATGGCATTGTAATTTTTTTTGTGAATTCAGAATCCAAATCACCATCTAGATGATGAATAAAAATGAGTTTGCGAGTCTCATTTTAATTCCTCTTTGAATATAATACAAAACCATCAAACAGGTCTATAACGTCAGTTGACTGTTAGCATTAGTTCCTCCCGAACATGGTCTGCTTCGTAAGATGCAAAATAAAATGAACATATTCTTCCTTCCCAGAAAGCCTGATCCCAGTCCTCGCAGCAGCAGCTTCAGTTTTGGCAGCAGAAACGCATACATTAGCTTGCTCGAGCCATCTGCAAGGCACGCGCGCTCCTACCTCGTCTGTTCCCAATTAGAACGTTTTGTCTCTCAGGCACGATCAGATGCCATGCTAGCACTGGTAATGAATTTGGGAATCAAGTACCTCCCAAGGGATTTAAAATCTTCATGGATTAAGGAGAGTCCTTTGTGAGCTTTGGTTGTTTTCACACTTTGGCTGTTAAGTCTAAACAATATATCTTGGATAGCAATTTAATTATACGAAGAGCTGATATCCCCAGCAGAGGGATTTTTTGGGCAGATTGGGATTACACAGGTTTTAAAAAAATATTATTTTTTCATTTGTTCATTGAATAGTAAGATTTTTATGTCAATATCCAACATCATTTATTTTGGAGAGCTAATACAGTGTGGCTACATGCAGATTTCCCTGCTGCTCAAACTGAATTCCATTCTCTAGCAGAGAACAGTGGAGCGCAGTGCACGATCAGCATTTTAATATGCATTTATTATGACAGAGTAAAACCTATTTTATCTAATTAATTTTTCATGCTTGTATGAATATCAAATGACCTAATGTGATCTTTCTATTGGTGGCATTTACTTTTTCTGCTAAACCCTCTTATTTGAGGATAAAAGATTACATGCGCAATATATGCAAGTGATTGTCTTATTACATTTTTTATGCCTTATTGGAAACAGAGTATTTCATCTGAAGAAAATGTTTGATGGAAAATAAAATAATTTATTATTATGGTATCTTTGCAAAAAATTGTGATCACTGCAGTTTTGTCATCCTAAAACCAAACCGCAAATCTTAAATAAGCCATCACTAATATAGTATCATATAGTGATATGAATCACTTGCACTGATTGATGTATCAAACAATCAATCAAAACAGTTTTATTTCACTTGTAAATAGTATAGGGATACGGAGGGCATGAGGCTGAAGGATTCTTTCCAAATTCTATACACAAATTCTGTGCACAAAGCCCCTTTCCCTGCCAGAGCAAACTGCTCAGTCTCTTCCTGGATTTGTGCTGCTGTCAGTGGTGCATCCGTGCGGACTAAGAGCAGCAGCACTGGGTGCTCTCCATGCCCAGGACAGGGTAAGTGCCCCACGTCGCCCCGCAACGATTCACTGCAGAAACTGTTCCCTGGAGACTACCAAAACAAATCAAAGATTGCAAGTATGAAAAGAGGTAACCATAGTAATAAAAAAACACCAGCAAATCCCTCCTGCACCCCAAAGAACAGTGTAACAACCATTAAGTTGATTGAAAAAAATATTAAAATTTAATTCCACCAAGAAAAATCTTTGAAATGGCTGCAAAATATTACAAACAGTTCAAATTTTATTGGAAACATTTTAGTACCACTGTAAATAAGACAAGATTGCAGAACAGGTTCAACAGAAGTTGTTAACCAGAAAACTGCTTACAAAGCACCTACTCTTGCTCCCACAGATATCTACAGCATTTCACTGGCAGGATTCAGTGAAAAAACAAGTCTGAGCCTTCAAATTCTTACTGTATTTTTATAAAAGTATTTATTCGAAATGCCATACAAAATCGTTATCCTGACTAAATTTAGGAAAATGTAGCCTCGATCATCAATTCTTGCTGTAAATGTATAAAAAGGGCCAATATTACATTGGATTTTTGACTCTCCTTCTTGTCTTTTTCACAATAAATCCATGCTATTCAAAATGAAAGAAGCAATTCTATTCCTATACAATTAGTGATATCTATATTATGTTTCTTATGTCTCAATATATTTTGGAATATTAAGGATATTTATTAGATATCCCAAATTAAATTATTTTAAATTATTTTTGAAGTTTCAGACTATCAGTATGTAAGTTAAGATTAAAGAGAGACAAACAAAAAGTGCAGCTAGAATACCAGTCCTGGTAGAAATTTAAAAAAATGTTTAAAATTTTTGATAATTTTTGAGCATACCGTGTTACACCAAAACATGAAACTATGACAATAAAAAACTAGCTTTTTAAAGACTTGTTTATATCAATATAAAGAAGAAATTTGCCATAAGCTTTATTATAACTTTAAACTTATAATATACTATGTCTAATGCCACCAGTAACAGAGCCAATCTCTTCTATGTGAAGTAACTGAATATCCTGAATTTACATAAAAATTATTTCTCTCATGATCATGCCCACAGCATGATTGTGAGTTTAAATTATTACATTTCCTTTAAGTTTGTGTGCATTAAAGAAATGATGCTGAAAAGTATTTACTTAAATTAATGTAGCTAGACTGGTAATTTTTACTTCTCCACATATATTCTCAAAGAGATAAAGCAATTATTTTTGCAGCCTACTAGGAAAGCTGAGTAGCAGCCTGGCTGCTGTTTTTCAGGTTAGATGGAAGTCTCTGGTCCTGCTCCCTTCGTAGCCTGCAGAAGCCCGCACTGGCTGGCCTTGCTTCAGCACAGGAGCGTGAGCACACGCTCCATGTTCAGCACACGGATAAAAGCGCTCATCTCACTGCGTGCCATCGCAGTTGGCAGATGGCACCTTCCACAACACATTTCTTTGTTCTCTGCTTCAGCAGGGGAGTACAACACCAACTGAGAAACCGCAGGGCTCCCACACAAATCCTCATACCAAGGAGCTACATACATACGTGCACATGCTTCTCTAGGCCAAACTGCAGTGCTCGTTGTTGAATTATGCCCCTTCCTAGCACTTTCCTGAAAAGTAAACTCTTTAACTGATGTGTACTGGTCTTCGGCACTTGATGTCTGCAAGGATGGACCAAATGCTGAAGCGGCTGCAGTTCGGTACATTAACTCTGCGATCTTTATGTACACAAACTATAAAGTGCTTTAGAATCCGTTTCCATGAAAGGTGCAAATAAATAAGTGTGTCCTCCTGCATAATTTCCTTAGAGACACACAGTACTGGTGAGCCACACTTAGCGGTATCCTCAAATTGTTACAGTAATTAAAAAAAGGTATGAATTCCATACGGACATGCACAGGCCAAATTAAAACCAAAGAACACTTATTTCCCCTGTATTTACCAGGGTTAATGGCATTGCAGCCACTCCTTTAGCTCTGTGTCTTTCTAGACCCTTATGCAGTGATCTGGATAGGTAAAAAAGGGAATAGTGCTATTCTGGAAACCTAGGCAAAAAGGGTCTCCCTAATGTGCACTACTTGCGGTGATTAGTTGATTTACTGTAATTGCCATTTGTTGAAAAGATGAACTGTTAGGAAACTGCGTGGTATCATTTCTCTTCTGGGTTAGCAAGCTCAGAATATCAGGCACTGAGTACAATGATCCCCACTGCAGAATGCGGACAGGTCTATCAATTGTCAAAATTTCCTTGAGTTTGGATTATGCCATAGAAAGATCTCTGACAAATGTCTATATAATGTGCAGAGCACCACTCCTGTGCTTATACTCTACTATCCCCAAAAGATCTGACTATAAATGGAGAGCATCTTCTTCATTTTGCATATATGAGGAACTGAAGCAACTCTGAGAGGATTTGCTTAAGGTTTCTCTAGCCCAGCAGTTACTTCGGCTGATTGCAAAGTGCCAATAGTCAACCCCCCAAATGACCCTATGGATCATGTTCTGTTGCAATGGACATAACTCCCCTAAGGAAAAACAGTACTGTTTATTTCTGTTTAATAACTATCTTATACATTAGGGGCAAAACTCCCACTGAATTAAGTATGATCTGCATCTCACGTTATATTTGGAACCATATTCAAATACTTCATCACGAATAGCAGAACTATCAAGCAGATACCCCTAGAGCATGCTTGATGCAGTTGATTACAATTCTTAATGATTAAAATGCAATGTCATTTTTGCCTTTTTTAGATTGTTATTGTTCACTTTATCATGGTTCACATGACTGCTCTTTTCTTGAACTGTAGTGAATACAAACTAAAAAGGGAAAAAGAAATAACAAAGAAAACAGAACACAATAAATCCTATTACCCAGTTGACAGAATAAATGTAGATTATCACCATGTCCATATCAAATCGCCATCCACGGCTATCATCCTCAAAGTCCATGTAGTCCATCCTGTGAGCAGCATGGGGGAAATGCCTCCTTGTTACAGTAGCTGAGCGTCTTTGAAAACCTGCTCCAAAACAGAACAGCTTGTAAAGATCCCTATAAAAGCAACTACAGTGAGTACCAAAGAAGCAGCTAACCCCTCCCTCCCAATCATTTACAGAACAAGGGAAACAGGCAACTAAGTTACACCTCACTTTATCGGGCAAGAGGCTCTCTGGGGATTTGACTTGCCAAGATCTAAAAGCAAACTTCTGCTCCAGCAACTGAAACTGTTTTTTTGCATTTAGTACTAAACTAGTATTACATGCCTGTGCCTCCAGATCTAAGAATATGTCTCTTTTGGAGCCCATTTCCAATGAATGTGAATCTGTAACCTGAAAGTAAAAGGCTTCATATACCATAATCAATTTCTTGAGTAATTAATCTCTGGATTCCCTAAGCCTATGCATCTGAATTCTTTATTGGTACAGTCACATCTCTATGCATACATAAATACCTAATGACCACACAGGTCAACAGTGCAAAAATATCTGAAATCTTACTGAATTAATTCAATGTTGTATTTGAAATTTTTTTCAAAACGCTCTTGAGACCAAGACCTGCTTGCTTTAATATTATTTGAACTTCCGCTGATTGCCAAGCATGTCTCTATAGATATATACCAGATGATTAAAACTTGTTTTCAAAATACTGTTTGTATGCTGATAATTCTCTAAATATAAATTGGAGCACTGCAAACACACACTTTAAAGTAAATGTAAAAACCTAGTGTAAAAAGCAAAACTCAACATCCTTAATATAATAAATCTAAATACATACTTTTCTACTCTTAAACTCTTCTATCGTGAAATCAATTTGGTGGATCTAACACTGAAGAACCCAGAAAAGAATTAATCACCCAGCATGCCACTAAGAAACTCAATTCTAAATAACAAGCTTCTTAATAAATGGCTCATTAGATTTTATGTTTTTATTTTTAAATTGAATTAAGCTGCATATTCATGTATTATTTTCTTCTTAGATGCATTATTATTGTAAGTATTAGGATAATCCTTCTGGTAAGACAGAAGCAGAGAAGATGACTTCAATGAAAGACTACAGGGACTGCCTCAGTGGGCCAGGGAAGTGGTCCGCTCCATCCACCAGGCTCTCTTTAATAGCAAGTAGAAGATGATATGGAGAGATGTAGAGAATCCTCTCTGGAAGAGTCACACAAGAATCTGATTCAGAGGAAAACTAATTTTAATCTCCAAAACAAGAAGCTTGTTTTTGCACTAAAAGTGACTGTGTGTGCTGTTACTCTTTTAAGGAGATATTTTTGCAAAGCTATTCTTCATAAGTTTGCAATCCTAGCTTGAATCCTATAAAGCCTTTAGCATCAAAGATCTCCTAGGCAGGTCATGGGCTAGTTATTCAGAAAAAAATATTTCATTCATTTAATTGTTTTCTCTTCTAAATGTCTTTGCATAATAATTGTAATACAAAGTTTTTTGAACTTCTACCAGGAGGAAAGAAAATCACTGGGTAACAGTACCCTACCTATTGTGACTGGCAAGTTTCATTAACTGCACTCTTTTCTCCTTCTCAATTGAGCATAATGACTGTTTCTTTGTATTATTATTATTTCTTTATATTTTGTCCAGAATTTGTATGGCATAATTTTTTCTAGGCCTTCCAAGAATAAAGGTTCTCTCCTTAGTATCCTATTTAAGATAAATTGTAAGGGACCTTTTGACTCCTAATAAAATAATTCAACTAATTCTGTTCATTTTATGACTAATTTACAGTGTGACTAGAGTACTGACACACAGATTTTCATTGTAGAACCAGTGCTAGTTAGATATCATGGTAAGTTATTTGGATGAATTTTATTTTAATGATAATAGGGATCAGTTTGTCAGGTACAATTATTAGGTTTCTAGATGTGTATTTATCAGAGTTGCTCTATTGCTATTTATCTTATTTTGGAGAGTAAATATGAAATCTTCATGCCAATGAAGAGACTGGTGAAAGTTTGTGATGGTTTTCAGTGGCTCCAAGTCGGCTAATATTTGCCTGCAGCTTATAAACCTATAGTGACTCTAGAATAAAAAATGCAGGTTTTGTAGAGCTTTAGGTTGGAATACCACAAATTTTATGCAAGTGCATGAGTTAATCAACTGCATAAAGAGAAGAGTGATACAGACTTTTTATGTTATGTTCTTCATTATGTTAATTTAAAGCAGTATCTTTGCTTACTCAAAAATAACATTAGTAATTCTGTAACTGAATACTGGCCTTCTTTAAGTATCCTTTTCCTGCTATGAAGATGTAGTTTATGTGAAAAATGCTAATTAAAAAAACCTACTTCTATTTCAAACCTCATTTCTTCTTAATTTATTTTGTAATACTTGTCAAATATTATGGTCAAATGTAAGTCTGAATTTATGTTATTGTGTTCTTTTTTAAATTTAAATTGCAAATTACGTTAAATTTTATTACTTATGTTATAAAGTGATGCTTTTTACACATGAATTCTGGTCTATATTAACCCCTCTGGGGGGTCTCAGTCAAGACTGCTGTGTTCTTTTATTTATTTCTATACTTTTAACAAATGTAACAACTTAACAAAACGTTATTTTTGTGACACCATTTTCAGATCATCTTGCAATCACAGAATTATGTAAATATTTAGGTGCAGTAGGTAAGCAAGACTTGGTAGTCCTCACCCCCGAGAGGACTTGGACAAAAATTATCCGTGGTTTGTAGTTTTGTGCAATTCACCTTAAGCAAACCTGCATTCAATTTATCTAAGATTAGACCAATTTATCTAAGATTAGACTTTGTAATGTAATCATTCTACATTTAAGAACAGCAGTTTTAACATACCAAACTAGTTATTCTATAATTGCGCTTGATATAGAGAGCCCCAGAAATACTGCTGGCACTGTACTCAAGATATGAACGCAATCAGGAACTGCTTACTGTACAATATGTGTAATCTCTGTGGCTTTTCTAAGCATAAGTTAAGCAATTGAAAATTGATAGCCAATAATGTGGATTTTAATACTCTTATTGAAAAGTCTGTCTGCTACCATCTGTAAGTTGATTAAGCACTGGTTGAAAATGTCAGTAGTACAACCAGGTATAAATGGAATTCTGAAAATTTTATATGACTTTCTCATGCATGCCTGTGTTGCCACTCTGGACATGAATTTCCAGTCAAAACACATGTATAAACATGTGCAAAGCCTGCAGAGTCTGGCAGACTTAGTGGAAACCTATAACTGAAAAACAAAACAAAACAAAACAAAACAAAACAAAAAAAAAACAAGGCTGTGAGCAAATTATCCTTTTACACTGATAAATGAGTACAACTCAAAAAGGATTTTCACCAAATCACGAATAGGCACATTGGTGCATGAATCTATGCTCAAGTTTTGCAAGCTGCTGTTAAGACGCTAATGATATTCAAAATAAGACCACAAGTAATTTTAAATATTCCCTCTATTTTACAAATTGACTACTTTTGCTATGGCTGCAGGTGAGCTATGGAAAATAAAATTTAGCTCTAAAAAAGTGCCCGAATGAATAATATGCAAGCTACAATACCACTTGCATTGTAAGTACTCATGTAAGATCAAGTTCCCTAAAGGTAAGTTTATCAGGTCTACCAAGGTCATTTTGACCTCATTGCTTCTTTCTGATCCAGCCAGAAGCAGACAGACAAATAAATCCACTGAAAAAGTATAAGAAAGAAGCCAAGTACAGACTGACACCTTTCCATAGCTATCTGTACAGAAACAAGCATTTTAGGCCCCCTGTGATTTGGAAGCTGTGCTTAGAGCACTCTGTTAAGAAGTCACTGATGACCCTTCTTCCTGCAAATTTGTCCAATTGCATCTTTATCCCTTTTATCCCCTTATGCCCAGGTCTGGCACCCAAAATACTCAATGGCAATGAGTTTCTTAAATTAAGTAAGAGCTTTGTGGAAAACAAACAAACAAAAACGGGAAACTCCTTTTGTATATATGCAGTCTATTGCCTTCATTGGCAATATTCATTTGCTCTTCCTTGGTGTGTCTTGATTAACATTTCCATTTGGGTCAAAAGGAACACTGTTGAACCAGATCTCTTATTGCCAACACTTATTGCATTTCTGCCATGTGGTGCAGTGGTCTCAAAGGAAATAAATTGAGCTCATTTCAGGTGAAACTGAATCAGATGATAAGCTCCAGGAGCTGAAGTAATGTGCTCCACTAATGGCCTTTCACAACTTCACAGACCACTTCAATCTGCCTCCTGTAATATACATTCCCAACTAAAATGCTGTAGATTCCTGTTGTATAGAAAAGCTTCCATACCCTCAAATCGTCCCTTCAAAAAGATGCTTTGCTATATTTTAATTTGTGGTAATGTAATCAACATCCTATGTAAACCAAAGACGTGGGCTAATCAAAAATCAAGCCAATGACATAATGGCTTCCATTTTGTTATGTTCCTAATAACTCTACTTACTTTTTTGACTATGGCTGTGCATGGCATTATTTCAGAAAACCAAGCAAATCCTACTACTTTTTGCTAGAAATTGGGCTTTAAACAAGCCTCCATGTAAACTACGTAAGCCTTACTGTAAACCATTTTTCTATTCACTCTCCTATCTGTTTTGCTGGCTGCAAGGCTTTTGGAATTTAAATGTTGAAATCTGCAACAGTCTCAGACAGATAAATTGTGCCTGAGCAGTTAGGGGCACATGCAGCCAACTGGATCTGTTGAACTTGCTGTGTGTGTGACTTTGCATACAGAAGATCGGGGTGAGGGCAGCTTACATGGCAGTGCACAGTGAGCATCCAACAAGTCAAGGCTCTAGAAAAGCAACTTATTGCTGTGAAAATTTGAAAAAGATCTGCCCCCAAGACTTCAGTACAGGACACAAGATCTGATTGCATAAGGACTTCCCTTTTTAGAAGTGAGAGTGGTTTAGCAGCAGCTGTTCTCCATTGTTATAATTAGCCTTTTTTCCCCCCCCCTTTTTTTTTGACATTTTTGTAAGGAATTTGACATAAGAAGCTATTGTGAAGTTCTAGAAGAACAATGCAGAAATTTCAAAATGTGATAATGCCAATAGCTGATATATGTTTCATTGATCGAAGCAAGTGTTTCCTAGAAATTTTAGCCTTAAAGAATCAATTCTGAGGCAAATACTGCTTCTTGCTGAAAAATGTCAGCATAACTACTCGAGCCACCAGTACTCTCATCTTAAAACTCTGTAAATCCTCCATGGATACTGCTCTATTTGCCAATATTTTTTTTCAAGGTCAGAAGTAGGACTATCTTTTTTTTAAGCTATTCTCTGCATTTTTTACAGCTATAGATAAACCCATATGTTTTAAAGCTTGTATTTTAAGCTTAAATAGAACACACACAATACAAAAAAGCACTGCTTGAATTTAACATTAATTTGGTCTTTATCATTAATCAATACAATAACATGTCTCGGGCCTTCAAGAGAGAAGGTAGGCAGCTTCTCACTTGAAGCTTGTTTTCTGAGGTATTGCAAATTGCATTCAATCAAAGTTACAAATGTTTAAAATTGACATACTTGCAGTTTTGTACTAGGCAAGAAATAAAGATGAGATTTTTTTCCATTCACATAAAGCAAACTAGAATAAGGGATTCTTATTTACAATTAAAATTTTTGCAAAGCAACTGTTCCTACCATTAGTTTGAATTCAAATACATAAATTATGAGAGTGCCTCTTTTGTTAATTAACAATATTCTCAATAATAAATTAATAACCAGAAAAGAATTTGCAAAGACTGATTTCATAGACTAACAGTTCAGCAGTTACTGATTAAAACACAAACCATAAAGCTAGCTACCGTATCTCATCAAAGAATCAGGTTAATAAAAAGGATAAAAAAAAAAAGAGGAAAGAAAGCTTTAGAAATAAACCTACAAAAAAGCACATTAAATGCATGCAAGCACATTTTTATATTCAGTATTTCACATAACTAAGATACTGAAGATTAATTAAATGTGAAATTGTATTTACCAACTTTATGAAAACTATTGAACTCCTAGTGTGCCAAGTCCTCCTCACAAATTCACAGTAAAGCTAGAACAACTTGTGTGTTCTATCTTGGGCTGTTTATTTCCCTGGAAGTAAATGAAGCACCAGGAATGTGGGAGGGCAGAATAAGCTTAGAAAGCGTACTCTTCCTCTGTCCAGACATCTGTTATTATTCTATAATTATCAATACTCGAATATAAGATACTTGGCTAGTCAGAATGCTGGGATGCATACTAAAACTGGGGTAACTGATCTCATGTTTAATGATACAAGTCATTTGACTGTGGGAGTCATGAAGGAATTCTGGTGGATAGAAGGTAAATAGATTCTTTTTTTTAATGATCAAATGCTTTTTTGCTTTTTCTTTTATTTTTTTCTTCTTTTTCTACCTCCCCCTACACTACAACACACTAAACGCCAAATGGGCAGGACATCACACAACAGTTCTAAAAAATGATTTATAGCAAAAATCTGTTCTCCTACTTTAAAACTGGATCACTTTCTTCATTCTATTAATTTTCTCATCACTTTTTTTATCTGTTACACATTTCTTTCCACTGTCTCTCCACTGACTGAAGTTCTTAATTTTCTTTATGGTCCTTTGTTCATCCTTGGAACTCTATCTTCATTATCCTCTTTCATTTCCCTTATCTTTGAACACTTATATAAATAATGCTGCAAAAGCATTCTTTTTCTTCAAGTTTGCCATCTTCCCAGCTGACCAAATACTCTATTTCAGCTGTCATAAATTCTTGCTGAAATATTCTTTTGTATGGTACTTTTGTATCATATTGCTGTAGTGACATCACATCCTATTAGTTTCATTCCTCCCCTGTCACTGTTCCCTAGCTACTTACTGGCCTTCCAGTTTCTGTGGTTCAGACAAAATGCATAAAGGCAAAAGGCTATTGACATTTATAGCTTAGCTTTATACAAAAGTTAGATAGTCTCAAAAAGGGTAAAATAGTTATTAAAAGGAATAGCACACTGATGGTTTCCGGCCTCAATGCTACTTGGCACACTGCTCAATCCTCTTTAGATGCTTATTTCTTGAATTGCATGATTACCAAAATCATTCAAAAATTACTTTCATTCTTTAAGGATATCTAGATTTCACTATAATATTGCAGATCATTTAGCAAAAAACTCCAAGAGTTTTGCTCTACACTACTGTATAGTAGGATGTGTTCAGAGCAGCACAGCTGGGCTCCTTAGGGCTGCTTCAGTACAAACGGCTCAACCACGGAGGGTATTTCAGGGCTAAGTTGATACAAATTGTGTCTGATAAAACCTCTGCTTTTCAAACAAAACTAGTTCATAGCTTAACTAAGATTCATAACTTAAAGTACATTTTCAAGGTTTACCATTTTTATGTCCAGAGCACTAAACCCACATAAACCCACATTCTGAAAATATGGGAGAGCTTGAACCATATTAAATTTGAAAACAGCAGCCAGGTTTTCAGTGACCTTTATGCCTGTGTGCTGTGTGCAGGACAAAAGACCACACTTTTCCAGCAGGGCCACACCACTTGGTTTCTGACAGTACAGCACTGTCGAATCAGTTATTCTCACAGTCAAATCTCAGCATTTTTCTGTTCTCTCTTTTAAGCAGTGTAATAATTTCCCTTCTCACTCCAGTTCCCCTTCTAATGGAACTTACCCCTTTCAGCTCTTTTCTTCTTCCCATTCTGCATATTTTGCCTTCTGCAGCTCCACCCCAGCTCTCTCCTGCTCATGTTCTCTTCCTTGAAATTTCTGTCTGTGAGGGGGTTTTATGACTCCCTTCTGAGATACCTAGATCCTGCAGTCTAAATTACTTTTGTGGGACAACTTGTCTGATTTCCAGGTAGTACACGGCTTAAGTGGTACGAAATGTCTAGATCTCCCCATTAATCCATTCTGTGTGTATGAAGCTCAAGACCATAGCTTTTCACATATATGAAATGCATCTTCATATGACATTATAACACATACATGAAACATGACATATATACAGTGCAATGGATTACAACAAAACTGTAAGCTCGGCATCAACATCCAAACTGCCCTTGGAGAAAAAAAACATTACTTTTCCTGCCAACAGCTTCCTCCCCTGGGTAGTACCAAAGAACATCTGCCAGTTCTCAAACCTCTCAAGCCTGCTCATTTTTGATAGCATTCCGTGTTATTTTCAGTATCAAAGCATGATGCTCTGTGACACTCTGTGTTGTATAAGCAGCAGACCAGATATATCAAATTTGACCTATAAAAAGGCCAGTGTAGACACATAAAGAGGCTATAACAAGGATGTTGCTTTTTTTTTTCTTTTTCTATATGCTCTTACAGAAGCAATATATATTGTTCTTATGAACAGAAAAAATAGATTTGTTAGCAAGTCAGCACTACAGAAAGTGACTAGATCAGTAAACACAGGTGAGGCCTGGTGAAGAAAAGCCTCATTAGACTGAAAATGGGAAACTTGGATAAACAGTAAATCATACGTTTCACTTGTCTATCAAAGTATGCTTCCTTCATATAATAAATAGGAAATAAGTTAAAATTAGAAAGAAAAAAAGAAAAACACCCTCTTATTCCATTTTGTATGTATAAAATGATAATATCTATGAAATAATTCCAACTATTTATAAGATCTCTTTCATGAAAGATTGATTCTGGATTTTTGTATGTGTGATTCTTTATTGACCATAATTAGAAATGGTAACTTTTCTTCTAGAATAACTTTCTTCATTCCACTATGCAGATGAAATATTATAAACTTTCCAAACAAAAAAACTGCATATAAAATTATCTTGATAATATGTACAAAACTAAACATTACAGATTAAAAAAAAGTTACACATCCAAATTTCCCTTTTACAATTTGCAGCTTATCTTTTGGTTCAGAGCTTAAGAAGAAATTTTAACTTAGCTCTGCTCTAGTAATCATTCATCTCTAATGATCAGTTAGACATTTACTTTCAAATACTGTACTAAAGTGTCTGTGGAGATGGAGAAAAATATAAAAAATACCCATTTAAATCTGAAAATTACATTCTTCATGTCCAAAATTATATAGAAACTATTTTCTTACCTTCAAAAACTCTGAAAGCTTTCTTGCAGCTTGGTAGAGGCCATTTTGCAGAATTTGATTTTTGAAAACTTTCTTTTAATTTCAAATATTCCGTTGGAAAAAAAGATTTGGTAGAGTTGTTCAGTTCTACAAAAATTAATGGGAAAGAATATACATATATTAATGCTGCAATTACAGCAATAATTTTCCTATGTTAGTTGTACAAAATAAATACCTCATCTTCTGTGTAACACTTTTTGGATTATCACATATCTTGAGATTGCCTCAAGTTTTTGAAAATCACATAAAAACAAATATGTCCAGATACAGCAAGAACAAGTCTTAAACGTGCTCTTCTAATTCTCTACTTCCAGACTAAGATATTTAGCAAAGATAATGTGAAACACTATGTGAATGAAATATCTTATAAATAGGGTATTTACATTCCAAGACAGTTAATATCTCTATGAATGAATGAATCTGGGATATTAATTTTTTGTTCATGCTGTTCTTTGCTTTAGCATCATCAGTCAATAACAGCCGGCAATAATGGAAAGAAATGGAAAAGTCTGGAAAAAATTAATTAATACTTAACAGGAATTAATACTTAACATACTCTTAGAATGATTAATGACACAGTGGAATGTGTGAGGAAACAGCTAGATGGTCTGCAAGACAAAAATGGCAAAATGAACCTATCCATAATCATTTATCTATGGAAAATAGATTTAAAAGATGAACATATTATCCTATCACAGAGAAGTGATCTGATGATAAGTTACCAAACTAACAGGAAAAAAAAAATTAAACCCTAATCTTAGTTGCTTGGATGAACATTTTCCCTTCCAGCTATCATGGCTCCATATAAATACTAATAATACTGTGGTGTTTCCACAAGTCATTGAGTATCTTAAAAAGAGAAAGAAGAGAAAGGGCTTTCACAGACCTTTGAAAGGGCTTATGTATTATTACTATAATTATTATTACTTTTGTGCATTTTTGCATATCTTTTTCATAATCAATGTTTATTACTTTTAAGAGATGAATCTTCTGACAAATCTGAGAAAGCTAAAGTTTTTGTGAAAGGAAAAAGTGAAAGTCTGACACGAAGCTATGAGCCCTTTTGTTGCAGTGGCTCTTGCTATGTCAGAGGAAGGGGTTAGTAGACTCGAAGTCAAAAATAAGCTGCTTTTACTCTAAAGTCTTCTAATGTACCCTTCTGTATTTCACTATGTCCAAATGCAGATAGAGTTGGCCACACAGCATGTAGAAAGTACGAAATGCCCCAAAGCTTCTACCTCGTTTTGTGAGAACAGTGCTACTTTGTGCTACACAAACCCATGTCCATGAAGGGAGTGGGGCCATTTTTTCTAAGTATATCTGAAACAAATTCAGTCCTTTTTTCACAAGTGTTTTTCAATTTCTATGGAAGAGGTCTATATGGCATTGAATTTATTCTGACTGAGTACTATCAGGATTCAGAGATATAGTCTCTGGTGAGACTCTGCTCGCCTCTTGCAAGATCAACACGAGAGTGTTTTAGTTTCCTTTTAATGGCTATAAAAATTAACTCAATTCCTTGAAATTGACTTTCCAAATTTAACCACTAAAATCTTTGGTGAGGTATCTAATTCCTGTTTTTCAGCAAAAGCAGTGATGACAGCTCTACAGGCTTTTGCAAGGTTGCTTCGTTAGGCTTTCAGATTGGCCAGACTAAGCGACCTTTCCGTAGGGGACCCCCTCCCTGTTGCGTGGCCGACTTCTGTGCACAAATAGTACCCTTACTCTGGTTTTTAGAAGTGGTGGGTTTATTACACATGGGTGCCAGATCTGGCACTTCTTGGAAATACTTTACATGAATCAAAAACACTTGTTTCACAAGTGCACAAGCCTGTCCCAGGCTAGTACGAGAGAGATTTAAAAGATGGAGTTTCCTGGCATGGATTGTTGCAACCAGATCAATTTTTGTCCTTTTTCACAGGTGAGTCTCTGGCACACAATCATCTGAGCAAAAGTACATTTATCCTGAGGGGAAGGGCCTTCTGTCCCTTAAGGCAGACGGGAATGTGCTGCAGGCAACACCAGAGCAACGTGTCTGCACTTGAACTCATGCTCCCGGGACTAGTAGAAGAGGCTCCCCTGAGATGGGCAACAGGGCAGATTAAGCTTCCTCATGAGTCACATCTGTCTTCACAGCTCTGAACTCAGCACTTTTTTTTATAATGAACCTTTTCCTTTACACTTGTTGTTAATGGCCTTCAGCTTTTTTTTAACTTGTTACATTCATTCTTCTATTTTAGTTGCATTCAATTTGCAAAACTATACAAGCTAAAAAGTGAACTTTTGAACACATCCTTGTTTTTTTTGACATATCCTTGTAAAACAAAATATGAAAGTAATAGAAAGCATCCAGAACAGATTAGTTAAGGAAGCAAGACAGCCAGGCTGCAACATTAGTGGTAAACGTAAAGAATGCCAGCAATTCTGCTTCATTGGCTGCACAGACTAACAGCTGTGGCTTTATATAACTTTTAAAAGTCTTACATCTATATTAGTCCTGCACTACTTGTATTCCCTAGTATGCTGATTTATTAATTTTTCTAAGGATATTATATCATCAATATTTCTGGGTTGAAATACTGTTTATAACTTGCTCAAGATGCTATGCATTGGCAAATTATAAAATATTTTTCTTAATAGATATATAATAAAATAAAGCAATTTAATATATCTATTTTCAAATATATTGCTAAGCCAAGCATATACTGCCATAAACTACATAGCAATATGCTAGGTGTGGTTAGGTCATATGGGTTTCTCTGACCTGAAGTTGTTAATTCTACATATATATCATATACTTGCTATGACTCTCTATTCTTGGCACTCTATTTACAGTTCAGTCACACAAATCCATTTTCTCAATAAAACTACCTGCCTTCCTAAGTATTCAATTGCTAGAAATAATTCTGGAAATAGTTCACTTAGCTGATAGCACTTCTGAGGTGTTATAAAGCTTTGCAAAAACATTTCAGCAAGCATCCTTATCCTCTTTTTGCTCTCCTATTGGTACTTTAGTGCAGTAACCCTGTTAAATAGCTTTTCTTTATTCAAAGCCCTACAGCAGCTAAAAGCCATTCTCTAGTAGTGAAACGCACTTCATTTGTACATCAAATCCAAAGTAGCACAGAGCTTTAAGAAAATGAAGTGAGAACAGCTTGAAACCTCTACATACCAGGCAGGCATGGTGCTGCGAGTGCTCAGGCATCAGTTTCACATGCAGTTTTTCTGCCACAGTGCTAGTTTAGTCAGTCTCTACCCGTGGCCATTGCTCCTGCCACCCGCAGCACTTCAGTGAACCATGCTAGGGAAATTAGTATGGCCAAAAAATGCCTCTTCCCCACTCCAACAAGTTATTTTTCAGACAGTTCAGTTCCTCAAGCTAGTTTGTCATCCAATTATACAACATTGTGCTCTTCAAATGAAAAGTCTGTGCATGATCAGAAATAGAAGCTGGGTAGCTCTCCTGCCCAGTGCAAAATCTTAACTTAATTCCACATTATCTGCATCCCCAACCTGTCATCACCACAGCACTATCCCTGTTTAAGCAGGATGTCTGCATGATTTCTGCAGCATTCAAAAAACAGGTGTTCTCTCTGGCTGAGTCGTTTCCATTACTTTGTGACCATCTAGGCAGAGTTTAAGTGCTGTAGTCTTCTTGATATCATAGTGAAACTTTATCCAGAGTTTCGAAATTTACCTATATAAGCTGTAGGTATAAAGACTGACCCATGATGTTCCATGTATAGTATCAACAGGACCACTTAACCTTTCTGATCCCAAACAACAACTTAACCTTTCTTATTCCTATATCCTTTCTGACCCCAAACAACAACAAAGCACAAATGTTTTCCTACTGCATGAAGTTAGGAGTACTAAAGATGAGGGTGCAAGACCGGAGGAAGGCAGAATTTTAAAACAATATTAGTTAGAATTCTATAGTTCTGTTAGCTTTTATTTTTACCTATGGCTAACTTAAAGTCATAAAACCAAGAAAGGAATAACTTTTGTCATTAATTTAATAATTTTAAAATGCCTTTTTAGTGAGGTACTTTGAGCAAATGCATGTTTGTAATGTTCGGAGTTTATGATTATATAGCAAGACTAAATATGAATTTAGTAGGAATTTAGCAAAGAAATATGAAATATCAAAACCCCACCTGAAAAATTTAAGATTTTTGAAATATATCTTGACAGTAGGTTCTTACCATTTATGAAGGCCTGCATGTAATAATTCTAGGAAAAAAATAAATGAAAAGAAATCCTCATGATAGGTAAAAAGACCAAATTATGCTCTGCATGGATTGTGGATTTAGCACAGTACATATTCTTTATTATTCGTTGGGCAGGAGAATATTTTTGTAGCAGGGAGTTACTATGCTTTCAGCTACATATTTATTCAGAGCAGAAATACAAAAAGAAAGATTACAAGCATTTTTCTATATTGTAAAAAGTTTAATGTTTATACCTGCTTGGAAAAAGACTCTGGCAATTGTAGTGCGACATAGTGGGCATGGCGTGCTGGCTGGATTGTCTTTGGCAAGGGTCCTCAAGCAAGGTTCACAGAAGATATGGTGGCAGGGATAGCACATGTAAGGATTGAAATAAAGATCCAGGCACACTGCACACAGATAGCTTTCTTTGTCTCCTCTGAATTCATGCTCATCATCTGTGTGCAGGTTATCATTTGCAGTCTGCAAGAAGAGAAAGAGAGAGATCACGTTTCTTCACAGCTCAGCTTATAACTATTTTGGATAAATCAATCAGCAAGAAGGTGGCTTTAAATACAGCTGAAGAAGTCAGTACACTGTGTGATATTCTTAACTTTTAAAACACGTTACTTTCAATGAGATAATGAAACATATGGACAAGACAGGAATGTCACAACAAGCATTGAGGAAGTGGAGAACAAAACTCAGTAAAAGAAAGGGGAAGAAACAGTAAAAGAAAGAAAGAACAAAACCAAAAAGCTTGACCTAAACCATAATATTAAAAGATTTCTTATTTTAGAGCAAATGTTAATGACAATTTGTACCTTCATTATCAAACTACCTGGCAAATTTCCTAAGAAAGGCAAAATGAACAAACAGCCCTAAGTTCTTCTGTCTTTGAGAGGTAATTTGTGAAGAGTATGTTTCTGCAAGAGTCATGGTTTAGAACAAACCACAGCTTTATCACTAGAATGGAGACCCTTCTAGGTTTTCCTTCTAGGAAACCCTAGCAACTTTGGTTTTGCTAGCATTTGTGCTATGAATTTTCTTGAAGGGATGTATTTGCAGGGGGGCATAACCGGAATTCCATATTGTGGACATGCCATCTGAGTATAGAAACATATATATAGTACTACGAGGTTCCTACTTTGTTCCTGTAAAATGTAATGTAATCTGAAGATCTTATACTGATGGTACCCAAAGTTTCTGTCTTAGGAAAAGTGTATTTTCTTCATTTCTGTGGAAACAAAACAAGAAACAGATTTACTTGGTTCTGTTTCATCTACCTCTGCACTCTGTTTCATAGCTAACAGAACCCAACGTACCCATTGGGATCCAACAGATTCACAAGGAAACACCCAAAAGAGACAAGGGTGTCAGACACTGCTGAGTGCCAAAGTTCTTCTCAGATGCTCCTTATTCTAAACTTTCCAACCCTAACTAGTGGTCCCAATTTAAACATCTTAATTCCAAACTGCCTTATAGTATCAGTGACTTCTTGTAGACTCCAAAACCCACACTTCAACCCTACGCTCAACTACTTGCTCAGCCACTACCCCATACCCACCTCCTTGTCAGGTCTGCAGAAGTCCTTATAGACACCTATAGCCAACACTAAGCATATCTCATGACTCACCGCTACCCAATATATGCCACTCAGTGCCAGAGCAGCTGCATGATTAGCATCTAATTTGCATACCCACCAGCTGCCTGTTAAACAGGCCACTTTTGACACTTGTAGGCCATGGCAGACTATCACTGCTACTTGTATACCAAATACTCAAAATATTTTGTGGCTATTCAGAGACATGGGAGTCTCTATGTCTGTCTCAGGCATAATTATGTTTATGGCCTGCTGCTTTGGATTTCTGCTCTCTCTCATTAAAGTCAATTCTCTGCTATCTGGGTTACTGAACACAGCAAATAATCATTAAGCCCTTACAATACGAGTACTATGGCATTTAAAAACCAGAGTAGAAATATCTCTCCGGGAGGATTCATCAGTTCTAGGTAAGCGTAATTCCTAGCAGCTTGGGTCCAGCACTGTCCAAACACGAACTCTCGTGCAACCCAGAGTGTCAACACCTGGATGGCTCTTACCTCAGCACTTATTACTCCAGCTTGTTTTTCTCCTTGCCAGATCTGAGATGGTTCCAGAAGACCACAGCCAGCTTGCTTTAGTCTGTTCTGAGCAAACTGGAAATTTACTGAGGACACAACCAGGCTGCTCTGACATGTGGGTTTGCTTGGGATGATTACTCTTAGCTCTCAGCTCCAAGAATGCAATTGTGTCAGTTTTTTAGGGAAGTCTGCCCCGTGAAGTGCACTAGAGCAGCACTGTATTATAACTAATCAATAATCCTGCTTGACCCAGGGTGTCTATACACTTACGAGCAGCCAACACTAGCTACTATGGCAAAAGGTAATTGAGAGTTGGCTATAACTATGTAATTTTATAAAGAAGGAAGCCTTTCTTTGACAAAAATCAGAGAACAGACTGGCACGGAGAGTGAGGAATATGGTGTTTGTGCTTGACACACAACAATGATGACTTCAGCTGAAATTAAGCATTAATGCGTTTGGCAATGAAAAAAAACCCCACAACTCAGCCATGTAAGGACAAAAGTCAGAAATAAAAGCTAGCACAAAACCAAAAGATAGGAGGCAAGAGCAAGTGTTTGTGGACTGGCTTTGAAAGGAATGGAAAACTAATGGGTAGAGAAGCGCCAGTCTGACTGAGTGCACATTAAACACTGCAGAGGCCAAATTAACACCTAAGAGAGTGGAGGCTGAACAGCTGCAGGACTCAAGGGTAGTGGAAGGTTCTGAGGTAGGTTTGTAACCAGGATAACGTGAACAGACAGGAGAATCTCAGTGTCCACTGAAATTTGTAAGAAGATCTAAATTATTCTAACATGCAAGCTTTAGTCTATTTAAAAGTAATTTGATAGAAGAGAGGGAGAAAAGCTGCCCTTCTCAGATATTCCGTCTACTCAAACTTCATCAATTAGTGCAAAGCTTAAATCACAGCAGTTTCCCTATGCAAGAAGGTAATGTTAAATAATTTAAATGAGTATGATTTTTATTTGCAACTAAGCAGTCCAACGAGCAAAGCTTTGGTCTTCGGGAGATTTACAAGCAAAAAGATTGTTGCCTTTGCAAAGAGATTATAATACAGACAAAATTGAGGAAGGCCATATGGATGTAAGAGACAATGAAAGGAATAAAAGGCTGCAGAGTCCAACAGGGAAACCTCTTAAGAAGTACAAATCCTATTACTATGAGTGAAAGGTCCTAAAAATTTCCACATTCCCACATTGCATGGGAAATGCTAATACTGACTGTATCACCTTACTATGATCATTGATATTTTACTGGATGAATGTTGTGGGATGTAAACAGACAAGCAAACAAAAAAGGCAGAAGAACAAAGGATAAGCTTTGGCTTGAAAAGCCTGTAAACATGTGAAAGAGAGACATCATTATCATCTGTGCTGATGCTATATGCTCTCTAACTACATACTAGAGAGCAACTGCTGCCACTGTATTCAATTGTTTTATCACTTACTTCTCTTCTGGAAAAGCCAACAGGGCTTCTCTACGCAAATTAATCCACTTAGAAAGGGCTATTTGCTCTTTTCTTTGTATGAACAAACTGCATGGAAAGTCATGCAGTTTTTCCCTTTCCTTTCCTTTGGAGCAGACAAAATAGAGTAACCATCAATAAGATATAAATTCAAAAAAGGCATGGTCTGCATGTAATAGGCCTGCATCAAACACACCTGGTATAATGTTGTATGTTATCACTTAGAGAGATGATCACGATTGTACAACAGTACAAATACAAAAATCTAACACGAGCACACTAGTTAACATCTTTGCCAGTTCCCATAATCCAAGCTCAAAACAAACCAATTTTTCTAACCAATCTGTCTCTCTACTTTCTCATTCCTATCTTAGATTGCTAGTACAGTAGGCAGATTTGTAGAATAAATAAATCAGGCTCAAAAACTCCATAATAAAACATCGCAGATGGAGATTTTGAAGCTGGCAACTGATACAAACATGTAACCGTGTGGATTTCAAGAATGGATTGAAGATCTGTGACTTTTTAAAACATTTTGAAATCAGTGGCTAAAAAAAAAAAAGTTGTGAGAAATCTTTTGAAAGAAACAGGTAACATAAAGGCCATATTAAGAGACAGCAAGCAGGGCATCACATAGAAAATGAACCCAACTTATAAATACAGACACAGGTTTCCCTAATAACACAGCCACTTTAATTAAATCAGCAGAGGACACCAATACAGCTGTGAAGGACAACACTTGCAGTGGCAAAATGCCATGTTTGGAAAACTGTGAAACCACAAACAAGCAGAAAAGACGCTCAATGCATGCTGAAAACAGCTATCACTGCTGGATTGGGAAGGGCATAATCAAGCAGCTAGTGGCCCTCAGCACAGGCTGTGCTCCAGCAGCACTTGTCAGAAGTGGTAGGAATACAAACAAGAAACGATGGTCAAAAATGGCAAAATAAAAATCCTTTTGGATCACTGACTGTTGTAGAAGCCATTCAGACATTCAGCTGATTCAGAAATCCCTAAGTATCTTCCCCATCGTGTTCCCCCTCGCCGGCCCAAGTGTTTGAAGACAGTGCTTGTCTATGGGGAGAGAAAAAGAAAATTCTTCTAAAAATATGAATTCCAAAAAGACAGAATCAGACAGAAATGGAAAGAAAAGCTAAAGCATTCCTGATTGTGATTAGAATTACTGATAAGGCTTTTTATTCAGAAGCTACAACTTTGACTGCATTCTCCAGCAATGCAGTAAAATGCAATAAAACATTTACTTTCAAGTATTTGACTAATCCTGAGAAGTTGGAAGATTATCAATTTACAGATGGCACCACCACTCAATATGCTGAGGAAAGCAGTCATTGAGCACTGTGATGAAAAATTATTTTTCATAATTCCTTACTAAATAATCAATGTATATATATTCTTTTACAAGTCTAGAGGTTACGTAGACTGCTTAGTAGGGGGAAATTCTCCTTCTATCCTTGCATGTTAACATAAAAGTGTTATCTCCTTGCATGGGCAAGTCCTTCAGCACTCTCTTAGGGAAAAGCAGTGTGGGGGATGCAGAAGAATTCATAAAGCCTCATTTCTGGCCTTACAAACCAGAAGGAAGAGCTGATTTGCTGCACAGCTGCCTGTCTCACATTCTGAAAGAGAGCAGTTGGCATATTCTGCTTTACTCTCTCAGAGGCTTCCTTTTGGTAGTTTATTCCATGCTATTTGTAAGTTATACACAAATGAAACTATAATGATTTACAGCTCAAAAACTGAGCTTAAGCCTTTAATCGTAATATATATTCAGAACATTATACCCAGGTTTTAAAAGGATTTGTTATAGAAGAAAGAAGAGCTTTCGATCACATGTTGTTCAGAAATGAATCAAGAAGAAATTAATACTTTTTGGTAC